CATTCCTCACTGAAGGCCTCAGCTCCTGCTGGCCCCTGTGGGTTCAGGCAACTGCTCTTCCTAGCCCCCACAGACATCCAGACCGTAAGGATAGCCCCAGATTTCACATGATTTCTTGTGGTTTCCCCAAACTCTGCCCACACCTTTGTAAAGACCCTTCATTAAACTTTTCTCAAATTACCCAGTTGGAGTGTGTCAACTCTTTTCTGATGGGCTTCTGACTGTTCCATTCTCCAAAATGTAACTCAGATGTCCCCCAAGCTTCCCGGGCCTAAAGGAATGATCTCACGATATAATTTAGATCTGAGTGTTGGCAGCTCACTAACCCCACACCTGAGTCACCGCACAAACTCAGTTCCCTTTCAACCTTCTAGAATTCTTGAGTCCCCAGGGATTGCTCACAACTGGTCACTCCTTACATTTCCTCCATGCCTCCTCTGCTCGGGCTATGGTCCAAGACACTATTGACAGAATGGAGCTTTCCAGTTCTTTTGGGAGCCAGGCTCTTCCTGAGACCCCAGTACTTTCTCCAAGCCAGACTGAGGTGGTTTGGGTAGGCTGCAGATATGGGAATCAAAGCCATGTGACACTGAATCTGACGTAATTTATACATGTGCACACCTACTTTCTTTCCTGAACAACTATTTGCCAACACCTCTTCTGTCCCAAGAGCCCCCTGGCTTACGGAGAAAATGGAGCCATTGGGCAGGAATTGTGGGAGGCCACGCCCCATCTCACATTCACAAGTATAACCACTTCACCATTCATCCTCATGCACCTTCCTCGTATCAGAAGACACGTTTCTCTTTCTGTTCAAGGCTCATCTCTATATCTCTGCTCTTGGCCCCACACCCTCCTGCCTGCTCTGACAGCTGTCTCTATCTAACTCAAGGAGCTAATTCCTCTTTCCACATCTTTGAACTCTCCTCTATGGAAATACTCCTCTTTTCTTGTAACTGTTCTCAGAGTTTTCCCAGCATGAAGAAGGAGGAGGAGGAGGCACCATCCTCCTTTGTTCTAGAGTTGGCTATTTCTGCCCCTCCTTCCCTTCTCCCGCAAGTTACCCAAAAGAGCTACCTTACACTTCTAGCTCCATATCCTCATTTCTCACCCTCGACCCACTTCTATTTCACTCCTGCCCTTCCAGGGCCAAGGAACTTCTTAAGTGCCAAACCCAATGGTCACTTTCCATCCCCATCTTATGGGACTTCCCTACTGCATTGAGCTGTTTGGACCCTCCATCTCCTCCCCCCAGGGTAGGGTCCTCGTAGCAGAGACTTGGAACTTCCCGCCATGGGTTCCTTTCCCTCTTCCTTTTTCCACACCCCACCCCTGCCCCGAGCTGTAACAGAGAACACAGCTGCCCGGCTGGATTCTACACACCCCCCAGACTTCCCGCAGCTAAGTGTGGCACTGTGACTTGTGAGCGGAGCAGAAGGGACGTGGCAGCTTCCTGGCCTTACCCTTGGGGCTGTGGATGCAGAAATGGGAGCCTCATTTTAAGGATAGTAGCATCAAGCCACCAACCTAGGTCCCAGATGACTCTTTGGAACAGAGTTGGTCCTGCCTGCTGTGAACTACTCATATCTGGACTTTTCACATGAGAAAAATAAACTCAGGTCTCATTTAAGTTATTGTACTCTGAGACTTTGTTACAGCAGCTTACCCTGTACCCTAAGTAATATAGTATTGACTCAAGAGCAGTCAATCTGGAGGCTTTTTAAAGCCTACCTCACCCCCAATCTAACTTAGATCCTCTCACACTCTCTTATAGCACCCTGTACTTCTCCTTCAAAGTACGTATCACAACTTGCAATTAAATAATTATTTGGGTAACCCAGTGTTCGCTATTGATTGCTTTTCCCACAGCTCTCTGCACTACTTCCTTTTTATCTTGCAGAATACCTATGTTACTCAGGAACTCATAGCTTCCTCATTCTGATTCCTGCTGCAGGAAAAGATGAGTGTAAGCCCGTCAGATTGTCTCTCTTAGATTTTGAAGTAAGAAACAAATAAGAAGCCACTTATCAAAAGGATCTAAGATGGAAAGTTCAAGTGGGGCTACCGCGGACCACGTGCAAACCAAAACTAAGAATGAGAGTGACAGGCAGGTAGGAAAGGAACAGATGCATGAGGTGCAGACAGTGTTGCCTGTGATGACCTGTATATCGTGTCTGCTGAGGATCTGCAGGCCCCTGGATTCAGGACTATGTCCCAGTTCCACTCTCTGTCCTTGGTCCCCCACAGCTAGAGCATCTACAATTATCCCTGCAATACACCATCTTTCCCTGGGCTAACAAGAGTGCACACTTGTTTCTTGTAATCAAGCAGGCCTAGATAAAGCAGTAACTTTGGGCAAATTTATTCAACAAAGATTTTTGAAGACCTACTACGTTCTAGGCACTCCTGTATGCACTGGGGTACTAGGGAGAACAAGATGGGCTGCCTAAAGCATCTTTCTGAGAAGCAAAGTCAATTACACTCCTCGACCTGCTTCTAATTCTTCAATGGCTCCTCACTGACTTCAGAATAAAGCCCTAAATCCTAAACGTTTACAGGCAACCTGGCATGGAACAGCCTCTGTCTATCATTTGAATCTCAATTCTGTTACTTTACCCCTCCCTCCATTTCCACCAGATCAGCTCACACTCAAGTCCCCCAGTGTGCAAGCCTCTCTCATGCTTGCAAGTTTTTGCACCATACTCTTCCATTTACTTGAGTGTGGTAAGCAACAGCATGAGGCAAGGATAAGGGTGGTGATGAGGATCAAATAATATTACCACCTGAGCCCTCATATGTACTTTATATATATTCTCCTTAACCTTTGTCACAATGTCACAAAGGACATTCTGTTTCCTTCATTTTACAGATGTGGAAACTGAGGCTTTGGTAGTTCAGTGACCTGCTTCAGATCACACAGTTAAGAAGTGGCAGAGCCAACATTTGAATCCAAGCCTATTTGACTCCAAAGGACAAGCTGTCTAAGCCAGCTGTCATCGCTTGGCCACTCTTTTGAACTCAGCTTCTGGACACAGCCGTGGGCTTGGATTTGGGGTTCTGCCATTTCCTGAGTGGGTGGCCTTGAGCAAGTCACTCAATCTCACTGAACCTCAGTTTCCTCATCTGTAAAATGAGGGCAGCAACAGAACCTACCTCAGAAAGTTATAAGGCGCTTGGCATCGTGCCTGGCCCAGTGCGTTTGGTGAAGGTAGATACCATTTCCTTATCATCATCTTTACCTTCTTCATTTAGGCCAGTAGCTTTCTCCTTCGCCCCGCCCAGGTCGGAGCTCTGCATCTTGTCACAGACACAGCCCAAGAGCTGCTTCTCGGCCGGGCCTCCTGGGGCCAGGCCTCCACAGATCTGTGGAAGGAAGCTTGGGCCGCCAGGGGAATGGCCTGTAATTGATCCCAGTTAGAGGTGGACAAGCCCTGTCCTCCTCGGCTGGGGCCTCAGGAAGCAGGGCTCTGCCTGATTTATGTCCCTGTTGCACCAAGGATGACCTGGTGACCTCTCTACGTGTTCTAGCATCAGACAAGGCCATAAAACGGAATTAGTGTTGCACGTTTGTTCCTATCGGGGCTGACTTGTCCACTGCTGCACCCCATTTAGGTCAATCCTCTGCAGGGCCCTCCCCAGGAAAGGTTGGTGTGTGTGGCCTGTCTGTGCAGTCAGGCTGCTGGGAGTTCAGGGACAGTGTACAGAGGGGAAATCACAATCTCCTATGCTTTCATGGCTTCTGTGACCATCTTCAGTGAAAGACACCCAATCTGCATCCTGAACCTACAGCTCCCCCACCCAGCCTCAGACCCAGAGGTCCATGGCCTGCTGGCCTCCTCCTCCCGCACGTGTCACGGGCCCCCGTCTGAGGTCATCATGTTCACCTCTCTGCCGGCTCTTCTGCGCTGAGGGGGCCACTTCCTCCCTGGCCTGGTGCAACATCTTTGAACAGACTCCTCCATAGCTCTGACCTCCCCGTTTTGTGATTAGAACAACTTCTTGCAGTCTTCACCATTATGCATATCTCTGTCTCCTCCAATAGACTGCGAAGTCCTACAGGCAAGAGACCACATCTGATCCATCTCTGTACCCCCAGAACCTAGCACAGGGCCTGGTACAGAGGACAAGCCACAAACCTTTGATGAAGGAATGAAGGGCTGGGTGGATGGATGGGTGGATGGATAGATGGATGGATGCATGGATGGATGGATGGTAGATGGATGGATGAAGGAACATAGAAGGGTATCTTTCGAGGTAGTTTTCAAATAAAGAACAAGGCTTCTTAAGAGGGACCCCAAAGTTCCATTGGGAAGAGTGAAATTAGATATTAGCATCTTAGAGCCAGATTAACCTTATTAATTGCATATTCTGAGCTATACTCAGAGCTCTTCCATGTGCAGACGACAGAGACCCAGTGAGGTTAAATAACTTCCTGAAGGTGAACAGTGATTTAGTGGCAGCGCCCCTGGGCCAGAGCTCAAACCTCCCACCTCTACTGTCTGTAGCCTCTTCCTCTCTTTCTGTATGGTGAGCTTAAGTGAGTTCTTCACAAACTCCAGAGCTTGGCTTCCAGAAATGCACTATAGAAGGCAGAGGGTCTTGGGGCGTCTGGGTGGCACAGTCGGTTTATCATCCCACTCTTGGTTTCCGCTCAGGTCCTGATCTCAGGGTCATGAGATCGAGCCTGCCTCGTGGGATTGAGCCCTGCATCGAGGCCCATGCTCAGCATGGAGTCTGCTTAAGAATCTCTCTCCCTCTCCTTCTGTGCCCTCTCCTCACACACTCTCTCAAATAAATAAATAAATCTCTAAAAAACAAAAACACAAAAGTCTGCTTAAGAATCTCTCTCCCTCTCCTCCTGTGCCCTCTCCCCACACACACACACACACACTCTCTCTCTCTCTCAAATAAATAAATAAATCTTTAAAAAACAAAAAAACAAAAATGAGGCAAAGGGTCTTCCAGACGATCTACAAGGTTTTATTAACAATGTGATCCATAGCAGAAAAACTGAAATGAGCTTCTCAGAATTTGCAGTTGGAGAGTAGCATAAGACTATATGATGGTGTGGCCCTTATCTTCTCAGAGCCTCAGTTTCCTCACCTGCAAAATGGGAATAAGAATAGCATCTGTCCTGGCAGAATACATGTTTTTTCACTTTGGGCTCTTGCAGCGGATTGTATTATTATTCCCAACTATTTGCTGCACTCTTAGTGAAAGATGATCCATCTCTGCCCATAGCAATGAGACTTGCAGTGCTTCTCTGTGGGGAGACTATACCTCACTAACCCCCTTGGTGTCAGCCTAGGCCATTTGCTTCCTTTGACCAATGGAACGTGAATAGACGTGACATATGCCACATCCCAGCAGAAGCTTTAAGAGTCATTGCAAGATTCAGCCATGGCATTTTCTCTTCTGTCTCTGGACTGATATAGGGGCCACTCCTTTGGTCTGAGACACAGAATGTGAACACATTTAGAACAGAACTTCAAATAACCTGCAGCTGTCATGTAGCATAAACAAGAAATAACCTTTGTTGCTGTCAGCCGTTGAGATCGTAGGGTGGTTTCTGCTGCTAAGCCTAGCAAATGCTGCCTAATAATCTTTTGCTTATAATAGAGACAGACTCATTTGGGACCTCTTAAGAGAGAGGACAGGGTTTGTGGTAATGATATCCACAAAAGGCACCAAATCCCAGGTATTCCTAGAGCTAAGTATTCGTAGTCAGATGAGCTGCCATAATAAGAGACTCCAAAATAAAAGTCTTGGGATGCCTGGGTGGCTCAGTGGGTTAAGCGTCTGCCTTCGGCTCGGGGCATGATCCCAGGGTCCTGGGATGGAGTCCTACATCAGGCTCCTTGCTCAGTGGGGAGCCTGCTGCTCCCCCTGCCTGTGCTCTCTCTCTCTCTCTCTCTCTCTCTCTCTCTGACAAATAAATAAATAAAATCTTAAAAAACATTAATTAATTAATTAGTTGAATTAATTAATTAAAGTACACATTTACTTCTGTCCTGAAACAGAAGATGTAAGTGGCTGGTTCAGGATGGTTAGACAGCTCAGCTCCATGGCTGCCCAAAGATCCAGGTTCCTTCCAACCTGCTGCCCCTGCTACCTTCCATGGTATTCTCCTCATCTGCACCACATCACCTTCCAGCCTGCAGGAAGAAGAGGAGAGAGAGCAGGGGCGACCAGTGCTCCTTTTAAGGATGTACAGAGAACCAACCCACATCACTGCTGCTCACAGACCACTGACCCGATCTTTCTTAGGTGACCATGGGTGTGTAATACAGGGCGCGGCTGTAGATCACAGCCAGTGTCCAGCCACGTGACTATGAGCCCTAATGAAACACAAAGTGCACCTTCTATTAGTAAAAAAAGAAGGGGACAATTCGGTGGTGTTCAGAGCTGGCTTACATAGGCTCAGGAGAGCCCATCACATGTATTGCCCACCCCCCAGTTCCATACTTATTGACATGACCTGAAATTGGCCTTAGTGGGAGTACACCACAGAAATCGGGGAGCACTACAAATCTGGACTCCCCACCCTGACCTGCCAGAGAGCCCGCTGTTACACATTTGCCTGCGCGGAGGGTGACGGGTACTGAGAGGTAATCAGCACTCTCTGCCACAGTTGGGCCACTGTTTCTTGGTGTTTTCTCTGCTGCCTTCTCTCACTCCCGAGCACCTTCCTCACCTTCTGCTCTACAAGAAGTCCTCCTTGGTTCAAATTTGTGCGTGCAACACATCTTGCTTACCTCTTTCTTGCTCTCGATTGCCTGCCCTGGGCCAGACGCCTCCACTTGGGCTCCTCAGCTCTGTCCAGGGGTGGAGGGGCTGGATGGGGATCACACCCAAAGCTGCCTTCAGAGGAGGTGCGAGCAGAACCGACCCCAGAGGCAGACACTGTGCAACTGAGGAGCGAACGTTCTTTCTGTGTCCCTACCATGCAGTTTAGGTTGTAGGAGACCATCCTCATGCAGTTTGTCAAATATTCCTGTGTATTGTGGTAAAGTACCCATAACATAAAATTTACTATCTTAACCATTTTTAAGTGTACCTTGCAGAGATATCAAATACATTCGCAACGCTGTGCAACATCATTCCCATCCATCTCCACATCTCTGATACTCCTTTTGTCTCTCTTGTGACTAGATAGCCCAGTTTGGTGAAAGAGGCACTTGCCGAAGTGGCAGGGGTCCTCTGGCTGAGGCATGGCTGTGGCCTATATCACAAGGGCAGTAACTTGCAGTATAGACAGGACAGCGGTGATTTGCAGGAGACCTGAGGTCCACACCCAAGGATCTAGGAAAAGTGGCTAGATGAGCACTCCCCACAGCAAGGCAATCCAGGAGGAAAGAATAACGCGGACTGCAGCGTCAGACAGCACCCAGAACCGAGCCCTGTCCCTTGGTGACCTCGGGCAAGTCCACCTAGTACCATGTTCTTCACAAACGCCGTGCCTTCTGGGCCTGAACAGTTCTTGCCTCGCTTTGACTGATTAGTGCCTGAAGCCCTACAGAGGCCTCTAAAAGTGGGTGTCTGTATGATCCTCTCTCACAGACCCTGGTCTTCCTTTTTGTACCCTAGTCATGTTTTACCTTATCTCCTAATTTTTCATCTGTGTCTGTACTAATCTAGATGTGCCATTATTTTTGTTCAGCATTGTGTCCTGAGCACTGAACCTAGGACTGGCACAAAGCAGCCATTCAATAAAAATGTGTTAAATGAATGACTGAGTAAACAAATGACCTAGGTTAGTTAGCTTCTTTAAACCTTACCTGTAAACAGGAGGGTATCTAAAATATCTAACTAGTGAGGCAGAGGCAAGAACCCATCAGAAAGCATGCCAAGGGTCTAAGCCAAAGTCCTTGCTATGCCTGGTATCAACCTTTTAGTTGCTGGATGGTGTGGAGGTCCGGGGGATCACAGGGAAGAAACTAGGGTACAAGGGAGCTGGAGGGGCATTTAGGGTACTTGGAGCAACACAAAAGAAAAAAAATTTCTTTTACTAAATTAACAAGCATTTGAGGCTGTGCTGGTGCAAGCCAGCTAAATGTCATTCCTGCCTATAAACTGGAGGAACTGATACCTAGCTGATCAAAAGGGGTGCTGGGGAAGACAACATCAATTAGCCCTTGACACCCTAGGAGAGGCAGGTCCGAGGTAAAGAAAACACCAGAAGCTTAGAACATACTAGAACAGGAATGGGCTCCTCACTTTCCTGCTCTCACCCCAACCCCCACCCCAAGAGAGATAGACGAGTCCTAGTAACCAGTTCCAGGTGTGGGGGGAAGATCCAGCTAAATTTGGGAAGGGTGTCAGCGACTGAGGAATTGCAAATATAAAAGAACAGAACAGGAAGAGGTGGCATGGCTCTCAGGAGATCCCTCCTTAACTAAGGAGAGTTAGAAATAGTGGTCCCTCCCATGGAAGACCTGGCCAGACCCCCTCTAGCGTTCAAGACCCAAATCCCTTTGCTCCTAAAGTTCTCTGACCCAAAAGCTTATTCAAGCTCAGCAGAGACAATTCGGTCCCAAGACCCCAAATTTGAATTTTCTTCCCCCTTGAGTAGCCCTTGAAAAACTGATCTCTTGGGGCGCCTGGCTGGCTCAGTCATTAAGCATCTGTCTTCGGCTCAGGTCATGATCCCAGGGTCCTGGGATCAAGCCCCGCATCGGGCTCCCCACTCAGCGGGAAGCTTGCTTCTCCCTCTGCCACTCCCCCTGCTTGGGTTCCCTCTAGCGCTGTCTCTGTCTCTAACAAATAAATATATAAAATCTTTTAAAAAAAAAGAAAAGAAAAACTGATCTCTTGAACATGGAAGACCCAGTTGCTGGGGGGTACAACCTGCCTTCCAGGCACCAGGTGAAAACGGGAGACTCCCTACATCTGACTTCAACACAAAGAAGAATTTACTAGAAGGATGTGTCACAGAATCCAAGGTTAGGGACAGCATAGGGAGGCAGTCAGGAACCTCAGCACCCTAAAAACTCCAGCCATTGGTTTTGCTTTTCTTTCTTGCTGCAGACTGATTGGTTCTTTTTCCTAATATGTATGGTGGAAAATGTCCACTGCCAACCACTCCTAATATCACCTCCATTCAAGAGAGCAGCCAAAGGCAAGCAGCAAGGCCTCAGCTCCATTCTGGGGTCTTGGACATGGGATGTGATTGGCTCAGCTTGGGTCTGTCGCCTGCCCTGACTAATTATCTGTGGCCTGGGGTGAGGGGTGGAATCCCAGGTCTGTTTAGCTCCTCTTCTCCCGGCCCTGTGGTTATAGGACAGGCAGAACCATTCCTAGAACAGGGATACTGAGCAAGCAGCAGACACAGGTACCTTCTACATGTGATTTGTCCTATGTCACTTAGCTAGAAAATGGCACACCAAGTCGAAACAATTTCTATGTTCTTCCCATTTTGCTCCGTTTGAAGGAGCAAACGAAGGTCATCAAGCCGGAGGGACACCAGAAGAGAAGCCCAGAGCTGCAGACTACAATGAGGGTTCAGGAGGCAGTGAGTAGAACCGTGCTTCCAAGGTCTGGCTTCCCTGTTAGACTATAACTGGGGAGGATGGTGTGTGTCTAGCAAGGGTCTCGGCAGGTAGGAATACTCAGTAATTAATAAAGGAAGAGAAGGAAGGACAGAAGGAAGGAAGGAAGGGAGGAAGGGAGGAAGAGAGGGAGGGAGGGAGGAAGGACTGTGCTTCTAAATCACTTGTAGTTTCATAAAAAGAAAGATTGCAATAGTAAGCAACAATTATTGAGCACTTCGTATTTTCAGACTTCACATGAAATCAATGAGCTGAATATCATTATTACCTTTTATAGATAAGATACTGAGGCACAGAAAGGTTAAGAAGTGCACCCCCAGTTCACTGGGTTAGTGGCAGAACGGTTGCAAATCTAAGCAGCCTGGCTCCAGACTCCCCCACGCATAACCCCTGGACTGCACAGCCTCTCAAGATGTCAACAGCCCAGCCCAGACCTAGAGAATCAGACTCTCTGAGGGTGGGACCTGGGAATCTGCATTTGACCAAGGTTCACACGTGATTCTGATGCACAGCCAGAGTCAGACCTAAGACTGTGGATCTAAAAAGTAGCAGCAAGTCTGAGACCACGTGATTAGAACAAATAAGGCTGCCTCCAGGATATTCGAGTTTGTCTGATCGTGTGAACATGAGGCCTGCTGAGGAGGCCTCCTCTTTGTGAGGAGGGAACCCAAACCCAGATCAATCACAAAGAATCCTCTGGAGACCTCTGAGCCGAAGGCCAACTCAGGAGACCGGCCTATTAGACACTTGCTGAAGGGGCTCCAGCCACTGGCCACCGTCCTCCCAAGAGGCGGGCCTGACTGTGTACCTGCCTAGTTCCTGGACTTTGATCTCCCATCTGACCTCCTTCTCACCCCTGCTCTGATCTGACAACTCTCACTGGGTTGACCCCATCTCTGACCCCAGCCTGCCCCAGTTTTCAGTCTCACTGCTCCAGGCTGATGTCTCACAGGGTGACAGCTCGAGGCAGGACAATATTCGGATCGGTCACCAATAATGGGAGCAAGATGCCATGTCTTCTGCTGATGGAGTGACAAATGGAATAGTCATGTCAAATGAACTGTGATTTTCAGAGTGGAATTCAGGGACCTGACCCCAACTCTGCAACCATCACTGAGCATGGAATGTCGAAATAGCAGTAAACAGTGCTTGGTCTTAACTGGAGCAATGTTCTTACATTCACTGAGCAAATGGCTATTGGGAGCCATTTCCATGACAGTTTCTGTGTCAGCACTGGGGACAAAAAAGATGAACAAGACATTGTCTCTGCCCTCAAGGAGTTTCTGTATGCCTGATTCCGCTGTGGCATCCAGAGAAGATGATGCCTCGAAGATTAGCCAAAGAATTGGTCCAAAAAAGAAAAAAGGCTGCAGGATTGCACTTTCGGATAAGAGATGGTTCTAGCTTTGTCCAAGGTTCCAAAGTCCCTCAATGACAGGACCTGCCTATGGAAGTCTGGGGGAGCTAGTCAGAGGGAGAAGCAGACTCCCTGCTGAGCAGGGAGCCTGATGTGGGACTCCATCCCAGGACTCCAGGATCATGACCTGAGCCGAAGGCAGTCGCTTAAACAACTGAGCCACCCAGGCACCCTTAAAAATAAAGTCTTAAAAAAAAGGAAAGAATGAAAATGAAATTGGCCAAGAAGAAAAAGTTTAGTCCCATTCCTAAGGGACCCTGGGTCACACTCCATTCTCCAAGTATGATCTGCTCCTTATGGACAACCTCACCTTTCTTTTCATCCCCTTCCTTCATTTTCCATCTCCTCTGCACATATTGTTGTGGGTTGAATTGTGTCCCCCAGAAAAGGTGAAAAGATATGTTCAAGTCCTAACCCCTGGTACTGGAGAATGCGACCTTATTTGGAAATAGGGTCTGTAGATGTAATGAAATTAAGATGAGGTTACACTGGGTTAGGGTGGGCCCTACTCCAATAGAACTGGTGTCCTTATAAGAAGAGGGAAATTGGGACACAGACGCACAGGGAGAATGTCATGTGAGGATGGAGGCAGAGATGTGAGTAATGCATCTATAAGCCAAGGAATGCTAGGGATTGCCAGCGCCACCAGAAGCCAGGAGAGAGGCATGGGAGACATTCTCCCTTTGAGCCCCAAGAAGAAACCGACGCTACAGATGCCTTGATTTTGGATGTCTGGCTCTGGAATTGTGAGAGAATAAGTTGGTGTTGTTTTAAGCCACCTAGTATGTGGCATTTTGTCATGCCAGTCCTAGGAAACTAATATATGGCACCAAGGCCATTATTTGGAAATCACCCAACTGATGCATGTTAGCAGAGCCCAAAAAAAGCACCAGTGGCCCTGACAGCTCTCCAAATGTTCATTGCAGATGAGTCATCGTTGTGCCTATTGCGGATCTCTGAAACCAAGAAGCCTGACTCCCCCATGGGAAGGAAGAAGGCCTTCCACAAGATTAGCAGGAAGAGGATGCC